TAACTTTTTGATTCCTATCTTTATGGGCATCATTATTCAGATAAATTATTCGAAATAAAATTCTAAAATTAGAAAACGATTTATGGAACTGCCTGTGTGAATTTTTTTTCATTGAATCCATTGCAGTTTATTGAGTTATGGAATTCATTTAACGATTGGACTGCAGAATGATGATTAGCAGATAACTTATTTTATTTTGTAGCGTACAATTTTTTTGTGTTCGTACGTACAGTACGTACGTACTACATCCTTTCAAAAATATTATTCACATGATTGGAGTTGTTGAAAATCCTGCAATAAGAATCTCGAAAAAATATTAAAATTCCTCTAAACTGTCAATATCGTATGTAGTTGACTAATTTTATTATTTGCTAGTTCAACATATAGTATTAATAGGTTAGTATGACGTATGTATACGTATTACATAATGCGCTGATCTTTGCTTACAATCTTTTCCTGATGCTTATTAGCGTTAGGGTTTTTAACTTTTAAGATAATCGATGGTTCTGGATTTTGTTAATTAGAGACATAATTAGAGAGATTTACATCCACTTCTTTCTCATCACAAAGAAAGTTTTTCCTGATGCTTATTAGGATTTTTAACTTTTAAGATATCGATGGTTCTGGATTTCATTAATTCGAGATATAATTAGAGATTTTAACACCATCATTACTTTCAAATTTTTACGTAACAAGTAAAAATCTGTAATATTTGCTGATCTACAAATTTAATGTTCAAAATTATACATTTGCAATAATCATTCACACTATAACAAGAAATAATATTGTGCAATGTAATGGAAAAATCTTAGGCAATGATTACATAATAATAAATTGTTACATTGCCAATCCCCAATAATTGGTTAGTTAGATTATGCATTTCGGCCGGTATTTGACCCGATTCCGAAAAATATGCTAAATTTTTTTTAGAATGAACTAATGCAAAGTAAATCTAATTTTCTTAAGGTTAAAGGTATGATTAATATAGGGTTAGCATAAAATTATATTAGTGCATGTATTTTTTTGTGCGAAAACTTAGAGCACACAAAAGTTAATTATTATAACAAAATTTTTTGTTATTAAATAATTCTCTTTAGCTTCACAATTGATTATGCTACAAAATCTAATAAACCATCATCATTTATAATTATTAATATTCTTTCATTAATTGTGCTTACATGTGTCGACTATTATAAACATTAATATTTATCTTAAAAATAGCAAAAAATATAGTATATTCATAATTATTATATAAAATATATTGTCAGAGTGACAAGTATAATTAAGAATGGTTAAATACCTTGACCAAAATAAATCCGCAAATTTTTATTTCCAGTATCGTCGTACGTACGTATGTACAATATTAGTGCATACCTAGTAAATAAATAATAAATAAATATTTCCATCAAAAAAAATTTTTATTTTTTATTTTTTTTTGAAAAAAATAAAATTAAAAATGGCTTTCTTTTTATTACTTCCGTTAATTCCAACTATATCTTCAACTATATTTAAACATTATATTGAAGGTCCACCTAAAAAATCTTGGGATTTAAAGTTTCACTTAGCAGTGACTTTGCTTAAAAACAACACTCGTTTTTCGAAATTGCCTATTGAACAGCTTCGAAAGGAATCAGTAAATTTTATTATTAAAGTTCCTCCTAATATAACTGTAAAGGATGTTATACTAGATGAGGAATATAGGCGAAAAAGTATAG